CGTTTGGAGAATATTTTTATATGTTTATTCACGCATCTTCGCAAGCTTTGAACAGAGGTTTTTGCTCCCACTATTAGATTTGAAGTTATGGATTGAATCTCTTCAATCCCTATCCATCCCCATTCCGACGGAAAGAAATGATACAAAACAAAAGTTCTATGGGCTGAATAAAAATAAGCAAATTTAAAGGGACATTACTGCAAACTTAGTGTAACGTATTAACAAGGACATACACGTGTAGGAAAAATGATGCCGAATTTGAACACGTGTCGAGACGCTGATGGCTGCCTGAACTGCCGGGAACTTTTCAATTTGGTTCGTCGGTTCAAAGAGACTTCTAGAAGTGTCTGACCGACGTCTATTGAATCCACTTAGACTACTCTCGGCATTGATGAAAATAGCACACTCGCTGACATGTTGGTTGTTTTCGAAATTTCTCATGTCATGTCTACTCTTGAAACAAATTCAATTCCAATTACAAAATTATTTTTTTAGCTCAAATCATTTTTGAACGAGTAAATATTGAATGTAATTGGGATATTATATTAACAATATTGACATAATATCATTAATCAATAATAAAACACTAAGTGAATAAATAAAATTCACTTGAATATTTTTTTTTTTGCTATTGAAAAAAAATGGTGGGAGTATAGGAGAGCACTCAAAGACCACCCTAATAGGTTACGCGCTCGTTACTCCACTTGAGAACGAACTTAGTGAGACTAGCATATCAGTCAATCACTGAACCCCAATTGTAGAGTACAAGATTCGAACCTCCAACCTCAAAGTGAAACTTCATCTGATACTCTACTGGACCACCTCACTCAGTTGTCATTTAAGTAATTATTTGCTTATATGAAAAAAGAGTGATTAGTTATTGTCTATATGGAGAATTGATTATTAATTTTAGTGAGACTCATTTGTTTATTTGTTTTGGTATTATTAATTGATGATACTATGTCAATATTACCACATGATATCATCGTTGTAATAAATATATTTTTATGGAGAAGATGTTTTCACGACCCCCCAATACCAGATAATTTAAACCAACATACTATCACTAATCCACAATAACTCTCTATTGTCTTTCCCCCACCTCTCTCTTGGTTTTTTTTATATTATTATTTTAAAATATAAATGTTACATAATCAATATTCGATTTTGAGTATTACAGATTATTTTTAGTCATGAAATTATTGCTAATACACCCAAAATCAATATAAAAAGTCACATTCCTAATCAATAATAGAGATCTATTGATTGGGTAAAATTATAGTTGGTCTTGAACTTTACCTTTGATTTTAATTTGATCTTTGAGCTTTTAATTGTTCTAATTTAATCTTTATCAATTTCTTCTTGAGTAAGTCATTTCATCATCATTTTTTACTGTTAGATTAATTTAAGATTAGTCTAATATAATCTATTTTAACATTAATTTAACACTAAAATGGACAAAAATACTTATTTGAGATAAAATTTATAATTAAATTAAAATAATTAAAATTTAAAAACTAATTTAAAATCGAAAACAAAATTCAAGAATCTGTTTTTTTACCCCTGTTAATTTGAAAGGGGGACAAAAAGGCAGCGAGTGTCAAATAAAGTGGTACACGAGAGCGTAGTGGTCAATCTAAAAATTAAAAGGTCAAATTTCCAACAGACACCTACCGTACACACAGTTCTCGTGTCCCTTACAACTCTCTCGCTCCCCAAATTGTTCCGCCCAAAACATCTCTTTCCTAAAACCCTCGTACATACCTCCCAATTCCTAAAGTGTAGGGAGAGAACGAGAGAGATTTAGAGAGAGAGTTGGCTCTACGGCTTTGGAGGGGGAGAGAGAGAGAGAGATGAGTGCCTGCATTATCAGAAGTGGCGTGAAAAGCCGCCACTCCGCATTCAATCTATGGCCGAGACAGTCGATCACCGACTCAATCGGAGCTCCGACCGTGAGAAGTCAACGACAACTACAACATTCCAATGCTCATACCCGTTCCCCCATTCTCCCTACGGGAAGCCTAAAAACCTCTCGCTGTGTCCTTCTGTTGTATTGTCTTCTCCTATTTCTTCAACGACCTCGTCGGCTTCAAAGGTTGGTTTTGTGTCAAAGATTAGGTTTGTCGGGTGGTATTTGGGGATGGTGAAGTCTCGCCCCATTCTCACTAAAAGCATCACTCGCCGCCTTTATTTACACAGCTGCCGACTTGTCCTCTCAGGTACAACTAAAAACAGAAATAGGAAAGTACTCTTTCTTTTCCCGGAAAACCCTTCTGGGAAAACGTTATTCAATCCTATTTGTGGAGAGCTGAATCATTTGCTTTGCGTGAAAGTATATGTTTAATGGGTTCTTCTAAAGACTTGATAGCACTTGACGATAAGCGCAAAGGTTGAGGTAGGGTAAAATTAACTAAAAAGATATAATGAATTCTTATTGTTTAACAGTAATCATGACCTTGATAAGCACAATGGCGAAAGAGAAATTTTCATTTAGCCGACCCCACCATTTTTGGGGCTGAGTGTTTATTGAGTTGAGTTAGGTTCTTCAAAGGATTTGAATTTCTTGTGGTGTTTGAACTTGAGCTTGAAGTTCTAAATGGTGTGTATGGAATCTGGTAAAAAAATCTTACTTTGTAAAGCTGCTTTATAGGGTGATTATAGTTGTTTGCCCCTAAAGTCCTTGAATGCTAAAATTGAATCGACTCCGTCTGAAGGAGAATAAGTGAAATAAGGCTTTTAGTCTGAGTTAGTTTTTAGCTATGGGATGTTTAGTAACTTTAATGTCCTCTGTATTGGAGGGTGCAATTTTATTTACTTAGAGCTTTTTGGGTGTTTAGTGGCGATGAAACTAGTCTGAAAGGTTGTATGTGTATTTGAAAATTCATAAAACTCGCATGTTTCTCCATTGTTACGGTTACTATGGTCTATGTTCCCTATCAAAACAAATAAAATTCCCTCGTATTGGGTAAGTGTTACAGGAAACAAACTTATGACTGTCAAGGAAAAGGATCAAACTTTATGTCGAAACCATCCCATTGCTCCTTCCCGTTTGCTTTCTAGTTAGTGAGTTTGTCATCACAGATGAAAAGAAATCATTTCATTTTTTTAATTTTACAAATTGAGCTTAGGTTGCGAATGTGACAGTTTTTTGAACTGTGAGACATTTGGAAAATATGAACAAGTTTCTGCTTTCCAATTGCATGCTTTCAAAGATGAATGAGAGCACGCTTTATCTTTTTACAGCAGAAACTATAGGTAATGCCAATATATCTAGGAAATATGTTATCATTTCCTAATATGCTTTATCATTTCGAAATAAGTTAACATTTCGAAAATATGTTATCATTTTTATGATTCCTATACGGTTGTGAGAAAGATGGGCTTTGTCGGACTTCATTCCATGCATTCCTTATTAGTTTATTTCTTGAATTTCTCCATCTTTAACTTTCTTAACATGAAGTTGTATCTTAGAATTGAGTGTGGAGAAAGGAAAATATGATAGGAACAAGTAGCACGAGATGTATTTATTTATCAATTACCATCAACAGAACCTTTAGACGATCAGATTTACCATCAGGATATAGACATGACAATATGAAAAAATGCTTTGAACCATATCTTGAATTTGCAGTTGAATTGAGAAAAAGAGTGCGGCACAGACAAAAATCATCCCAAAAGCGAACGTCGAGGAGTTTAACTAAAATTAGAATCCCACAAAGAGTAGTTACTACAAAGCAGAATCTGTGTTGTAACAAACAAGTCACCCTAACACACTAACAGCAAGAATTGTTCAACTGTCAAACAACTAGTGGTATTGGCTGTCTTATACCCATAAATCTCTGGTGTTATGTGAGTATGATATTATTATTGGAAACAAAAAATTGTTGGATATGTATGTTTATAACACCAAGGCGTGATGTGATAGCATTATTATTGGCAAAAAATTGGAGATTTGCCTGTTTGCTGCAATGAGGCATTGTGTTTGATGTTATTGCTGAAAAGAAACCCACAAAGTTCACGTGCCATCATTGAATGCATGCAGAATCCTAGTGTTAAGAAACTTTTGATGTTGATCTATTTTACAGAAGTAGCTACTTGATTGTCGAGTTTAAGTAGTCCTTTTCTCACCTCCTTTCCGTGATATTTATCTTTGTCCACCTCAAAAATTTTCAACTAGGTCATACATTTTGTAGGCTTGTCTTCCCCCCCCCCCCCTTCCTTTTTTTGTTGTTGTTTATGCCCTTTAAAATACTCTGATATTGTAATTTGCTAATAGGTGTATGCTTGGAGTTAAGTAATCATAAGACATCAAAATGAGCACATATTTAATAAGTGCTGAGATCTTTTTTTTTTTATGGGATCCTCTGTTGGACACACATACACAAACACAAGGGAAGAGAAGGAGGGATGGAGATCATTAATGAATTGAATTGCCAATTGAACTGTTGTACTGACATCCATTGATGATTAGTCTCCAGATACATAACCCTTGTTGTTCTTCATCAAAACTTTTATCCTAAATTATTTCGGTGCATCCTACCTGCCTCCGCCTCCCCCTTCCTCTTGGCATGTGTCTTTGAATAGTTTAGGTCTTGCGCAATAAAAATAATTTATTCTAGATGATTTGGCTGCATGAAATAGAATATGTTATCAGTGTGTTTTTTTCAATTTTGTTTCATGTGTGCGTGCTTATATGCCCATGCATTTTGAAGGTAAGAATGTTGTTTGTTTATATGCCATGCAAGTTAAATTTCTGTTGTAGTACAACTTATTAACCATCAATCCTCTATCTTCTGGTTTGCAATGACATAGTGTCTAGATTTTTCTACAACTGTAGCTGGCCATCTTATATGTTGTGTAGGTTTAGACATATCTTTTATGCTCAATAAGTTTTCTTGAATTGATATTGCATCCCCATTTTCTTTGAATTTCACATATCACTACAACTTTTCCTCAGATGATTGCACAGCCATCTTCGGAGCCATATGATCTTGTGAGGACATTGCGCATGGCTGGATATGGAATGCTAATTTTAGGACCATCAGTACATTTTTGGTTCAACTTTGTGTCAAAAGCCCTTCCACAGCGTGATCTCATCACTACATTGAAAAAAATAGTGCTGGGGCAGACAATATATGGGCCTGCAATGACTGTTGTTTTCTTCTCCGTGAATGCAGGTCTACAAGGTACCACCATGACAAAAATTATTTATTTGGATGCTTTCTTTAGGCTGTCTTTCAGATTCTTATGCTTATTATGTTCTTGGGGGAATGGATTGTGAATATATGCTCCAGTTTTGGACGGAACCAGGATTTTTTCTTGGGGGTCACACATTGGCATTATCAAGAATTTTGTTCAATGGGTTATTCTACAAGCTATTGATGATGAAAATGGTTAGTTGTATAAAACCAATCAAAATCAACTTTTATATCATCTGCCTAATTTGTGGTTCTGTCCCTAACCTGAATCGTGGCAATTATTGTAAAAATGCTCGAACCACAGGCAGGGTCCTACACATGTACCATTTGATGCAAGTCACATGTAATTTTGTATCCTGTATGCACTAATCTATGTGGAGTTTTATGTGTGTGTCACTAGTGTCTGAAACCTATATCCAGATGTAGGTATTCAGAATACAGATTTAATTTAATTCCACACTTGATTTATTATCATTAGCATTATATCCGTATAACATCTACCTGTGCAAAACAAGATGTCTTATATGTATGCAAAGCCCATTCTTAGTGCTCTATCATTAATCACCTTTTGTAGAGTCATATACTTTTGTTAGGAAAGGCATCTAGTTTTCATTGTGCTCTATTCAGCTGTTTATAAGTATTGCTTTGGTTGCCACATTCAGGTGAAACTGGTGCAGAGATTGTTGGTCGATTGAAGCGTGACTTGATCCCTACGATGATAAATGGTGTTATGTATTGGCCCATCTGTGATTTTGTGACATTCAAATTCATCCCTGTTCATTTACAGGTATGTATGGATAAACTTGTACAAAGTTCCAATGGGTTCAAAGGGGAAGACCTGTCCTTAAAGTTGTCATAGTTAGGAGATGTATTGGATTAGAAGGCCATAAGCCCAGTCATGTTTGAATTCTCTTGGGCTAAAGAGTTTGAGGTTACTATTGTGGTGCTGCTGGTGTTTTTCTTTTCCTTTTGTTCTTTTTTGTGGGGGGTGGTGTTCCGACCACTTCTTTTTTGGTTTATTGTGTTGTCATTTAAACGGAGGCTTATGTACATCCTTATTATGAAAATGATTTTTTCTTAATGTATAATTTTTGTTTTTTTATTCGTGTTTTCGCTGTGGCAGCCTTTGGTGAGCAACTCGTTTTCATATCTATGGACTGTCTACATTACATATATGGCTAGCTTAGAGAAAGTAGCCACTGAGTAATAGTATGAGCTGCTGATCCCCACTCACCGCCTTCATACTCATGCTCGAAATTATATTTGGTTGCACAATGCGAAGGACGCAGATAATATGGGATCCTACAAAGTGAACTCTTCGAACGGTTCTGCAGAATTGATGCCATGACATGTATGGAGAAGCACAGTTGAAGAAATGACAAACCCACACAATTGTTTAGTTAGATCTTTAGCAGCAGTCGGCATAACTGATTATGTTTTTTCATGTAATTTATGTTCACATTTGTGATATCATAGCAGTTTAGATCTACTTGTTTAAATTCTATTGGCCTCTTATGAATCACAGCTTTTCGTTTTTCTTTTGTTCAGTGTTCTTGTTTTCTCAATGGCACTTGATTAAAGCATTATCCATGTTCTTGTTTTCTCAACAGTACTTTATAAGACTGCATTTGGTTGTGGTGAAGTGTTAACGTTTTTCGTTTGGTTGTAGACTGGACACATTGGTTGTCAAGGATAAAATTCTCCCATTTTGAATGGTAAAATCTTGTTTGAAGTTTTAAATCTCATGGATACCGGGTTTACAAAGATAAGAAGACACATTGCAGTGTACATAAATTAGAACAAAAGAGTAAAGAATAAGTATGCTTTAACTTCAAATGTGTAACCCCAAACGTAGGTTGAGCGAATTAATATATTTATCGGCAGACCGAGGTCGAACTCTTAAGGAATTGTGACACAGCAACAATCATACTAATTGTGTAACAATCTTGTGAAAATGTTTTGTTTAAAAGAATATTTGAATTTATAAAATTGAATGAAGTAATTAAAACAGTATAAAAAATACTAGAGCGTTAGGTACTATCTCTCAAATCTATACAATAATGATTAAAGACTTAATTTTTAAACTTAGACAAGAATCAAATATCGGTTGATTCAAATCACCAGATTTAGCGATAAAACAAAGAAAATACCTTTGTTTATAATCAAAAATTTATTCAAGAACCTAAATAAACCTTTAATTATATTATTATGTGAAATAATGGTAATCAATTTAAGCATGGAATAACCAGTTATTTGACTCGCGGAAAATTCAAGCAATCAAAGTACATGACACAATGACTCAAGGATTTTTACAAAGCAAAACTTTGCTAAGAAATCAAAAGTTAAATTAACAAAATATCACATATCATTAAGTTCATAAGTCAATAACATTATTGTATTTCGTTGAAAGGTCCTCCCCTAACCCTAGCTAAACCTTTTAACCAGATATGATGAACTAAAATAAAAATTAGAAAAAAAAATATGAGAAGAGAATAATAATAATTTTAATCATCTAAATCCTCATATGAGAGCCTTTATTTATACTAAAATAAATCTTACGTATAGGTAGAAGATATAAAGTTGAATTTAGAAGAATTCCTTTCCAAAAAGAAGTTTTTTAAAGTCAAATCCCGCGCATAAAATTTTGGTGTCTGGGTATAAAATCTGCTTATACTTTGAGCTCAAATTTCGTATAATTAAAGGTCGATTCACGAAATTTTTGTGAAATACACTTTTGTAGCCCTTGAAGTCTTCTTTTCAACTTGGAAAAAATAGGTCAATCCGATATCGAAGTTAAAAGTTATGACCAAAATACTGAAAACGTGTCAAGTTCTTATTTTCTAAGGTACTTTCCAAATCCAACTTTAAATGAATTTTCTTCTAATTTGGACTCTTATAAGAATTAAATTATTGTCATATCTTCAAATGTTCATATTTTAATCTTGACTCTTCAATCCTTATCACTTGTGATTTTCTTCAAGTGATTGTTTCACTCACTTTATTCATTATGACTTTAAATTAACCAATTTACCTGCAAAATAAATCATACAACTAGAAAATCAATAAATTTAACACATTTAATCACAAATAATATGTAATTAACCAATCATTAAATATAATAAAATAGCAATTTGGATGGTTAATCAAAGTACATTATAAATTACATGCAATCATTCAATCTAGTGAATAAAAAATCTGCTTATAAATTATATGTTATCATTCAATCTAGTGAATGGAAAAAACTGCTTCTCATTCTGTAACTTTAGTACAAAATGGTTGAGACGACCTTCTACTCCAATTTCAGAGCTTCCCCAGATAATCCAGACACTTGTTCGGCCTTAGAAGACGAAGAGTCTGAAAGAAGGCTGACAGAAGCTTCATCAGTGATATCTTGAAGCTGTTCTGATAGAATTGGATGGCCTTCAACATCATTATCAGAAGGCCCTGATAGTTGTTGTGTACAAAACAGGACCAACCCTTTATCCTTTGCATAGAGAATAGTGGGGTATAAGGCAAACCCAACAATAATAACTGCACCACTGACTAGAAATGTCTTTACAGATGCCAAAGACATGACAAGAACAAGCAAGAAAGCAGGAGGCAGGCAAAGCATCGTTGCTCCAAATGTATGTAAAGGAACCTTGTAAGGTCTGTCAAGATCCGGCTTCTTTATTCTCAATGTTATAAAAGCTGCAAACTCAAGAAGCATTCCAATAGAATAGAGGAAGTTAAGGAATTCCAAGATTTCCTGAAAACTCATCCATGACAAGAAGATCACCCCGGTTGCAGAACACAAGATGCTGATGGTTGGCGTCCCATACTTGGATCTACAAAGTTTGTTGATAACATTTGTCATGCTCAAAAAAGCAACTTTGTTGTTCCAAACAAGGGAAGCATTACTAAAATAGAGATAACATGCTCAAAATTATGCTCAAGTACTAAAGTGCTATAAACTCATGACAAGATCCAGCAAACTAATCCATAAGAAAAAGATGACACTAAATGCAGAGCACAAGATACTAACTGTTGGTGGTCTGTACTTCAATGTATAAGGTCCTTCTACAGAAATCTGGCATGTAATTTTTCGAAAACCAAACATTTCCTTCCAAACACTTGCTATAGAAATCAATGGCAGACAAGATTATGTCGACAGGAATAGGGAAAACTGGAAAAACACTTCAATGACAAACTTCTGTCCTCAATGTCTATTCAAGTTTTCATATCTTTTCTAATTCAAACTAATGTCATCATATTCTTTGTAGATGTATTGCTTACGAGCTACATGAACCTTATAAATAAGACGAAAAGGGAGCGTTGAAGCTAAAATGCCATGTTGATACTATGTGATCCATTTACACTGTCACAATAGGCAACGAAGCAAAAGCAGGCAAAACTACTTACCTGGAAGCAAATATAGCTGGGAGCATTCCCATCTCACTCATCCCAAGAAGTTGAAAGGCATCACCACTCATTTCTGCTTCAAACAACCCCAAATTAGACATGGCAGAAGCTGCTTGGATCCACCACTTTAGCCAAAACCCTCCTATCAACATCCCAACTTCTGCAAAATACCCATCACTCCACTCACTAGGATCAGACGTCAAAGCTCCTGTACCCGCAAGAAGTGGAATCAAATACGAACAAACAACCAAAACTACAGCCCCCAGGAGTGCCTTAGGGAAAGTCCTACACGGGTCTTTGATCTCCCCTGCTAATGTACTTGCTTTATCCCAATAATTCAAGTTCCAAAACATGGTGTTAAAGTATCCCCTCCAATCCACATTTCTTATATCTACAACGAGCCATCGTTTAGGCCTAATTTGAGGAATTGAGAGAATAGCCATTACTATGAAGGGAAAAAGGGAGAAAATGGCAAGCAAAACAGCAGAAAACCCAACTATATGTAGCCCTCTATAGTTCAAGTATGTTAAACCAACTGTAATACCTAAAAGAGATGGAATTCGAACAATCATCCGATTAAATATGGGAATCGAATGCTTCAAGTAGTCGAGAAACAATACTGGGTAAAGGGCATTGTCCATAACACCACTAAACCATTTCCAAAAACCTTCTTGGAAGCCCCAAAATGGCCCAAAAGCTGATGATATCCAAATGACATACCCACCATTTTCAGGGAAGCTTGTGGCTAGCTCAGCTGTAACCAGAGCTTCTGGGATGCTCCAAAATATGGGGAATATCAAGAAACCAAGCAAGGATAGAAGAGGGCCACCTCCAGCCCTGACAGAATCTTCCACGCCAAACGGACCCCCAGAAACCTCATAGAATATAAGTGCAATAAGAGGCAAGAGAGTTAGTTTTGGGTTTGTCTTTGAATTTTCAGTGTTCTCGGTATCACCAACCAGTCCCTCTTCACCCATCCACAAACAGGAAGGGGGAGAGAGAGAAAAAAAGAGAGAGGTTGAAGGTCGACCCACCTATCAGTTTGAGAGATTTAATCAATAGTTGTGATTTTACACCAAAAATCAGCTTAACCAAAACATGTGAACCTGAATTTGTTTGATAAGAAATATATACCTGCTTTGAAGAGAACTATTCAACTGGATCTTGCTTGAATTTTATCAGAGAGAGATGTTGGGTTACTGCGAATCTCTCTCTGTGTCCCCTCTCTCCCTCTGCTTGGTGGAAAACTATGGCAAAGTTGACTTCTGGTAAAACAGTTTTAACTTCAAGGTTGTCTTAAAATCCAAAAGGTTCACTTATGCATTTGATTTGTAGGCACTGAAACGGTGTCAAACACGTACTTTGAAAGATTGTGGATGCTCTCTTTCACAGAAATGGGCAGCCACCCACCACCTTGCCTTTGATTGCGTACAGAATTAGCAGTTTCGGACGTCGTCAAATGCCACATGTTATTATTTGCGAACGTTATCGTAATAACTCGTGTCAGACCAAAAAAAAAATAATTATAATTCCTGTCTATAATTTTTTTTATTTAATACAATATATGTTAAATATTAATTTAATTATATATATTAATTTATTTATTTATCAATTATGTTAATTTTAGGATTTATTTTTTTTAGTTCAATATGGTCAAAGATATCTGGGTCAGATTACGTATATTTTGAATAATTTATTTTTAAATCTAGTTAAAGATAGATCACCTACATTAAAATTCGGGTATTCATATTGGATAAATCTTTCGTGATTTGGTCTTAAAGGGTTACAAATATTTGCACCGAGGATGTCTAATTAATTTTAAGATTTATATTATATTGAGTAAATTACATTCAAACTTTCTGAGATTTGTCACTTAATCACATAGATCCCTCGCATTTAAAATATTACATTCAGACCCTTTATTGGTGACGAGCCAACAGAAATGCTTAAAAGACCAAAATACCCCCAAAATACACCCAAAATACAAGATATTTTCTTAACTAAGCTATAATTACCAATATGCCCATTTACCTATATCTTCAGATTTCTCTCACCCATCTCTCTTTCTGTGTCTCGCAACCCACCTCCCCCGAATTCCCCTCTTGCGCAGACCAGCCCCTTGCCATAGCCCTCTTCTCTCTTTCTTATTTCGCCCATCTCTGTCTCTCTCTCTCGCAAACTCACCTCCCCCAAAATCCCCTCCCATGCGGACCCCTTCTCCATAACCCTCTTCTCTCTCTCTTTCTCTCTGTTTCACAAACGCATACTCACTTCCCCCCAAACTCCCCTCCCGCACAGACCACCCCCTCCCCATAACCCTCTTCTCTCTCTTTCTCTCTGTGTCACAATTGCAAACCCACCTACCCCCCAAAACTCCCCTCCTGCGCAGACCACCCTCTCCCCATAAACCTTCTTCTCTCTCTAACACACACACATACGCAAACCCAACTCCCCCCAAAACTCCCTTCCTGTGCAGAACCCCCTCCCCCAAATTCCCCTCCTATGTATACCCCTTCCCCCACAAAAAAAACTCCCCCTCCTGTGCATACCCACCCCAAAAACTCCTCTCATGTGCATGCCCCCTCGTTATTACCCTTCTTTTTATTGGTAAAGGCAGTGTGTTAGGGTTTTTTGGGTTGGTGGAGAGGTATTGATGGTGCCATAACCTTTTTTTGGATTGGTGGTGGCAGTGGGTTAAGATTTTTTGGGTTGGTGGAGGGCTGTTGACGGTGGCAGAGAGAGAGAGAGAGAGAGGTGTTGTGATGGAAGGGATTGTTAGGGGTGTCGCTGTGGTGATTGAAGGAAGTTGGCGGTGGAGGCACTAATTGAGGAGTCAATTGCTTTGATTTATGGGTTTAAATTTTAGGGTTAATTAGAGGCTTGGTCAGTTAATCAGTTGACAGTGGGCTCCATATAAAGGATAGTTCGATAAATTAAATTTATATGTAAGGATGACATCATGAATTTTGAACGGTTTGTTAACCGAGACTAACGATTGAACTTATGTGTTGCACGTGCATGTACCTTCTGAGGTTTAAGTGTAATATATTAAATGTGAAGGTTCTAAGTGATAAAATGATAAATTTTAAGTGTCCAAATGTAATTTACTCTATTATATTTGTATTGATAGGTAAAATTGAGACCGTTACGTTGCTTCAGCCATGCTCGCGAATTATTAGGGATATGGGTGTTCAACTTTTTGATTTCTATAAATTACAGTTGAAATAAAAAAAATACATAATAATAGAATGACAAAAAGAAAGGAAAATATAATTATTGGGATTAAATAGATTCATGCCACACACATTGTAAAATATGCAAGTTTAAAAGATTAACATGTTATTTCAAATAATTTTTAAATATAAATAAAAAATATAAACTAGTTGACATGTTGTTACTATTAAAAAAAATACAGTGTTAATCGAGCTGATATATTTTTTTTTTATATTTTGCCTTTGCTCAATGTAACTCCTCCATATATTTTTTTTTTGTTCGACAGTCAGCAGTGTCCAGGCTAGTTTACACTCCTCTCGATTAATTCTCTCTCTAATCCGCTCAAAGACAGATAATTTACACCGAAATTATGATATCTATGACCCTCATGTCATAATCTCAATGAGTTGTTAAGTTCTGAACTCATGACATTTGAGTTTACAATTCATTCGTATTACCACTAAACTATCGGAATTATTTCTCTGCAATTTGTCTAACCATTGATTTTGCTTATAATTATTTTTTGCAAACTATAGTATTTTTTTGGGTAAATTGCATTCATATCCCCCGACATTTGACTAAATAACACGGAGATTCCCTGACATTTCTAAAATAACATAGCAACCCCTTGTCGACATCAATAGGTGATCGACGTTAACAGAAATGATAAAATAATTTTTTTAACCCTTTAATTTAATTTAAAATAAATATATAATAATAAAATATATTACCAAAAAATTAAATTAATGAGTCAAAAATAAAATCTCTATCTTCTTTCACATCTCACTCATCCCTTACCCTACTCGACGACCACCACCATCCCTCTTCTCCTCTCCGTCTGTCTTTCTCTTTCTCTTTCTCTTTGAAAACCTACAACTCCTCTTCCCCCTCCTCCTCCTCCTCCTCCTCCTCCTCCTCCTATTTCTCTCTTTCTCATAGATCCCCTCAGGCCCCCGCCCCCTCTCCCCACAACATGCCACCGCACCCAACCCTCCCAACCCAACTGTCACCACCACCACCACCACTCTCAACCCCCTTATTTCTCTTTTTCTTTTAGTTCCCCACCTCCTTCCCGCAACAAAACCCAAATCTGAAGACTCTATTACCCCCCTCTCTCTCTAGATTTGTAAAACCTATATGAATGGGTGAATCACCAACCCTCGAATTGATTTTATCAAATTGAAGCACAAATTCCTATTGTCATTAGTGATGCTGGTACATAGTTGGATTTTTGTGATTTACCTCTCAGATCGAATTTATGGTTGATTTTTGTGGTTCAAATTTTGTTGGTGAAATAATGGGCTGTTAGGGGGCAGAGATGACGAAGAAGATTAGAGTTAGGGTTAGGGATAGAACTTAGGGATGATGGAGGATGTGGTATTTGGTGGTGAATTTTGGATGATGGAGGCTATTGTGTGGATGGTGTGTTTTGTGTGGTGGAGCTGGTGGGTTTTGGATAGTAGAACTGATGGTGTTGATGGTGACTTTTTCGGATGGTGGAGATGGTAATGTCATTCACAGTTGTCATATCCTCTATCTTTCTCTCTCTAGAAGGCGGTGATTGAGGAGGTTGGTGGGTGGTACCGATTTTGGAATCGCACGGTGGATAGGTGATGGTGCCAGATGATTGACTTAATTCATGATGGCTTAATTTAGAAACAAAATTACCTTAGTTGATGAAGTCCTGAGTGGGGAAAAAATTACTAATTAATTGCTTAATTAGTGGGGTCATAATTTGAAAATAAATAAATTTTATTTGATTTTAATATATGTTAAGGTAAGCTTAGTTAATACAAATCTATTATATTGAGTAACTTAATTATTTTTAAAATCATAGTTATTATGAGAATTTGTGGATTTGGATTATGAGTTTAAACTTTTTTGGATAGGTAGTTATTAGTACAATTAGGAAATTAAAATTTAAGTGTTGAAATAAATGAGGGATAAATTTTTAGTGTAAGAAAAACATATATTTAAATTTTCAAACTTTATTTTAGAGAGTATTTTTGGTATTCTAAAAATTATCATTATGACATCAATTTTGATTGTTAATAATTCTCACATCTGTTAGTTGGAGGGGATGTGGTTGTTACAAGATATAAATGTCAAGTGAGGTTGGTGTTGTTTTTAAAATGTGAGAAGTGTCTGTGTAATAAAATCAAATGTGAGGAGGTGTGAGTGATATTTATCCTTTATTTTTCTTCATTCATACAGTTTTATTTTGAATCTTTGATTTACTAACCCAAAAAAATAAAATAAAAAAAAAGATAAAAGATAAACCAAAAAAAAGGGAAAGGAGAGGAAAAGAAAAGAATACTCTGGACATTTTCTGCAATTAAAAATGAATGATTCCCTACGTCTCTCTCTCTCTCTCAATGTCTGAAAATCTATTGCAGGGCATCTTCCAAGCATCCGAAAGAGTCTCGCAGTTCGTTCAAACCCATTTGTCCCAGTTTATTGGCCTCTCCCATCACCCATCACCCACTAATGATCGCCCTGGCTTTTCTCTCTCTTCATCTCTCAAAGCAAACCTGTCAGACTCAAGCGCCGACTCTGCTATTCTCCAACCAAAAGGCATTCTCAAACAGGTAGCCACCCTCTCATCATCCTGTACATTCGCTTAGTTACAGTGATTTGATTAAGTCTCGAATTTCTGTTTGCTGTACTGGGATGGTGATGATACTGAACTTAAGCTCAGTAACTGTTCGACAAAAGTCCTGAATGGACAGTCTATCGTGATTTTATGGTTATGGCTCACGCTGATCTTTCTCTCATGATAATTTGTGTCGTTTTCTGAAATTTATTTTGTTTGTCTGTTTTTGTGATACGGATTCTATGGTGTATTTGGTGTTGTGCATGCATTGAAAATTACTAAAGCTGCTCGGTTGAGTTGTTTGCTTCTCTTTTTGAGTGATTGAGGGATGAACTGAGCTTTTTTTGTCCAGTTGGACAATTGAAGTATTGGGAATGTAGCATACTGGTTGCAGTCGATGGGCTTATTGTGTCTGGTTTTTGTGCTTGAACATATTACTGCTAAGTGAGACGATGTAAAATGAACAACAAGCCTATGTTCTGAGAAACGTCCAAAATAAAAAACAAAAAGTGCATTTGTTTATTCCTAGTAGAGTGGAAATTGTTGTATTGATTGATTACCCATGTTCTTGCTCATAAAGGTTACTGGTATTTGGAGTATCTCTCATTTTCTAGTTGCTTTTCTTTTCTCTAGGGGCAATCTGCGACACCGGTGACTAAGGAAGAGCTTGGAAGATCCACTTGGACTTTTCTTCACACTCTTGCTGCTCAGGTCATCTAATAGCTATTGCTTCTGCTGCATCTTGCTGTTTTTGATTGTGCTTTATGTTTTATATGATATTTGTAAAACAAAATGATTGATAGTAAGGAATAACTTGTAGTCATGTGAATTTCAAAGCATACACACACATTAGCATTAACATTTTTGCTGTCACAAGAAGTTTGTGGCTCTATTGTATGCCTGTGGGACTGCAATGATACACCACTTTAACATATCACATTGTTTTGATTTAATAAGGTTTATCCTCTATCTTTTTGATTCTTACCTAATCTTTTGTTTCCCCAAACTCGAAGATATGTTAAGATGTTTTCCGTACTTTTGTGCCTAAACTGTCTGGAAATAGTTTTATGACATCATCTGCTTACTCTAACTTTGAGAAAATTAGAAAGAAGTAGAAAGGCTTTAATGGTTGAATAGGAGTGACTGGGTTTGTATTCTGAACCAAATGAATTGTGATGGTTTGGTTGAATAGGTTGTGAATGTGGATAATCATTTGAGTCTATGTGGTAATTGGTTTATGCTCAAATTGGTCCAAGCGAACGCGAACAAATGACATGTAAAACCACTATATTTGTTGTTAAGAGAGCTTGTATCTTACATTAAATAAGTAGGACCACCCTGTTTATATACTTGAGGGGCTCTTCTACTCATTGTCAATTGGTTAAGTTGGATTCTCTAACATGATCTCATAACTTGACATTGGATGGACAGTGGGCCAACTCTCTTATCCTTTACAATTTTTGGGTATGCACAGTTATTTGTTTGTTGACCCCACGTGCAAGTTCAGGTCCCATGTGAGGGAGGGTGTTAAGAGAATTTATTTCTCACATCGAATGATTAGAACCACCCAAAGTTTGTTTTTATACTACTCCACTCATTGCCAATGGGCCCCCCTTGGGCGGCCCTCCTTTGGGGTAGTCCCTTGAGGGTGTCCTCCTTGGACTCCTCCTTGACTTTGGCTTCTCTTAATTTGGGCTCCTCCTTGACTTGTGGACTTAGGCTCCGAGGTGACGTAGGCTTCGAGATGACGTGGGCCTCTCTTGATTCGTTGGGACTGACCCAATTAATTTCGGGCTCATCAGGTGATACTATATTATTAAATATATGTGATATCATCGTCTAATAAAAATTCACCACCCACACCACTTTTCTAACATGGAAATTATTAAATGTGATGATTATGAATAATTATTGAAATAGTGAAATTCACTTAGTTTACAAAATATTTCATAATTAATTAGAGATACCATACTTAGTCACGTTTAGAAGGTCAAACCCTACACAAAGGCTCAACTGAATGGTCCAAAATGCTTTAAAGTTCAAGAAGAGTTGTGAACAACTTATATATACATACATATATATATATATTTTTTTTTTTTTAACTCCAAGACTATTTTGAGATAAATTATAAGACAACCATCTAATAGTTAGCCAAAGTAAAGTTATTTTATACCAAAATATGTCTTTTGGGTATTGTATTTTTACTCTTTTATCATGTTTTTAGTGTATAATATTTTATTATTATTATTTATAATATAAAATAGAGAGAATTATAACCAAACCGTCTGAGATCTACCACTTAATCACTTAGACCACCTGATCATAGTTGTTAGTATTGTACGATACGCGATACGTATCGTACGATACGGAGGTAAAATGATACGAATCGTAGTTATGTATCATTTTTGCGTCGTATCGTTCGATATACGATACGTTTTTACAATACGATACATATCTATAATACGACCAATACGCGCAAAATCTTTTTTTTAAACGACGTCGTTTTGTCTAAATAAGACACTAATTTTTTTTATCCCTGCCACTGATAAAACAACGTCGTTCTGGCTAGGGTTTACAAAAAAGATAAAATTCCTATTTTTCTCTCTCCTCTACGTTGTTTGCTCATCGCTGTCTTCCTTTGGTGTTCTTCAGATGACAAAACACAACACACAACACACAGTGGCAAAATCTCTCTGTTCGCTGTCTTCTCTCTGTTCTTCATCGACTGTCTCTCTCTTCTCTCTGTTCTCCGTCTTTTCTCTATTCTTCATCGACGAAGGCAGCAAATTTTAAGAAGCCATCGAAGTAGCCCTGGATCTAGGTTCTTCTTTCTCCAGCTAAACCTGTGCATTTGTAAGAAATTTTGTTAATTTATTTACAAAGCCAAATAATTTTTTATTTTTTTTTTGTATAAAAATTTCTGAATCTTGATTAATTTTAATTTTGTGAAACCATTTGAAGTTTGAATTTGTGAACTATGGTTGTGAACTTTGCATTATAATATTAGTGAACTATGTTGATGATTTGAATAGTTGGTGGAGTATTAATGAAATACTATGTTTTTATGAGTGTATGTTTTTTTTCACAGGTATATATATTTTATTATTATTTATTTAAAATTGCACCGTATCTTATGATACACGATACGATACATTATTTTTAAAAAATGATACGCCTTTCGATACATGATTTGATAATTATGCCCCTGATATTTGAAATATTATAAACAGACACAGACTCCCTAAAGTTTGTACACACGTAACACTTAGACCCTTGTTATAAATATATCCGTTAATAAATTACACCCAGACTCTCTGAAGTTTGTAACACATATTACTTACTTCACATATTACTTACACCTTTTAAGTTTAAAATATTATACTTAAATAAAAAATATTTCAATTAAAGATAAAATATGAAATATTTTAAATTTTACAATTAAAATTCATATTCTATTGTATCATTTATTGAAATAAAATCAAAAATAAAAATTTAATTTTTTCTTAAAAAATCATAATTAGTATACAATTGTATTGTCTATTGGAATTTAATTTGGTCGTTTAAACGACCAAATTAAAATACCAAACTACTCCAATTAAAGTTAAAAGATATTGTATCAATTACAATTTAACCCCTTGTTTTATTTTTTAGTTGGATTTTCTAACACTCATAACCCTTGCATAAGCAATAATAGGATGTGACTTGCATTGTCAAACAAAATGTATAGGAAAATTATAAATTTGCACGGTTGGATTAGTTCAACCAAAGCTTTACAGTAATATGGTCCTTTAAGCAAAGTGGGATGCACCTAATAGAAAGAACAGAAGTACAAATATTGTTTGTGGATGTTTATGATATTTAAGCCATTTACCTAGTTAGATCCTTAGGATGGCACCATAAGGAATAAATAAGAAGATAATAGACAGATAAAAGATCTAATATCTTTGTATGCTTCTTAGTGCATGATTATAATGACCCCTCAACATCGGATATAGCACATACGCTGAAGCTAGTCTTATACCCGGTTGGATGTTTTAGTTCCAGCCATAATTGAAAATGTTAATAATGGTCATGTCTTCTTTCTCTTTCTCTTTTTTTTGGGGGGAGGGGGTAGGGGGTGTGGTACGCAAGCATGCAATGGATGTTAAAATTATCACTTTAACGCCCTTTATGCCAATTTCTGAAAATTATGCCTTTATATATTTGGGTGTCATGCTGTTGATTGTTTGTAGTGTATTGAACTCTTCACATGATTTTTGAATTTTTTCAGTATCCAGACAAGCCAACCAAGCTACAAAAGAAAGATGTAAAAGAACTGGTATGACCCTTCATCCTGTAGATCTAAAAGAATTGGTATGACCCCCTCACCCTGTAGTTATATATGTCTCGTACTTCTTCACAATAGCTGAAGTTGCTTGATAGTAAAAGCCACAATTTCAATGATAAAAGTGTCGGGCTAGCAACCATGAGGTTGTGCGTTCGAATATGAGAGCAATTACTTTATGCAAATAATGATGATGGTTGAGTCTTTGCCCAATCCACCCTCCCCCACTGAATAATGCCAAAAGTTAAGTCTTTATCCAACCCACCCCTCCAAGCAGCCCCGGTTGACAGGGACAAAATTGTTAGATCATGTAATATGTTTGGACAGAGGACAGCCTTAGGCAATGTGAGACGAAGAAGGAGCAGATTTTTTGTGACAAGGCAAGTTCTTATCCTTATTGGATATTGATGCTAGATAACAGAGTTGCATTTGGCATGCAGATGGCTATATTATCTCGCATGTACCCTTGCAAGGAATGTGCAGATCACTTTAAAGAAGTTCTAAGGTAAATAACACCCCCCACCCCCCAAAAAAAAAAAGTGGTCTCAGAATTCATTCTTCAAACGTGATTCTGAATTCTGTGAAATTTAAAACATCCTACACAAAACTTGATAATGGGCACACAGAGATGTCCAGTAATCCATTTTTTGCATGTTGTCCAATATTATGAAACCATTGTTGCCTAGCAACAGGGTTCTTTACTGTTATTGTGTTTTATCATAACTCCATGAAAGTGATGTAATACTGTAACAAAATGCAGTTACGTTGTGAATGGTCGTTACCATGGTTATTCTCTTAAAAACAGTGCTTAGCATAAGAAAGATAATTAATTTTTAGTTAACTATTTTATTCATCATGTTTAACAGAGCAAATCCTGTAGAGACTGGTTCTCAAGCTGAGTTTTCACAGTGGTTATGTCATGTCCACAATGTTGTTAACAGAAGGTAATTTATGTGCTAATAATTGTACCTGTTCCATATTGTCATTATATGATAAACCTGTCTTCCTTGCAGTGCGACCCAATGTAAGGGGTCTACGAATGATTGGGGTTCATTGTTTGTTTAACAAGTTGGAATGGTCTAGGTTGATTGATGTATCAGAGCTAGTACGATCTACGTCATTGATACATTTGAGATGACCCCAAATTTTAACAAGCTTCTAGCTGCTAAAAGTGTGAAGTTCTGCTTGGGTTGATTTTTTTGAATATTCTTTCTACAGCCTAGGAAAGCTGGTATTTCCTTGTGAACGAGTTGATGCACGGTGGGGCAAGCTAGACTGTGAGCAACGTGCATGTGATCTACAAGGGACTATGACGAATCTTGGCAATGCAGCCCATTAAAACGCTGATATTAAGAGCATGTGATCTACAACTAACGATGTGAAATTTTGGTGATGGAGCCCTTTGAAGTACTGGCATTTAGTACTGGGAGATACAGAAAATCATCTGGTGACGGCATTCTCTTGTGATGTTGCAAACGACTACTTTTCACCATTAACTTGTATACCAAGAAATGAGATCGCGGACATTTTTTCATGATGTTTCAGTTGGTGGAAGAATGTATGGTTCTTAACCATCCTTAAGTCTGAGAAGGTGATATAACTATGAAGTTGATAATTAATGGTCTAGTGTGTATAAATTCTTTGTATGTGTTCCCTTCCCTCTATATTAAGTTGTGACATGTACTAAAACTCAGAATATTTTTGATGTGTTTGACACAGCATTACAATGCATTGGAATCATTTATGTATGTGGATACTAAGCTGTGGCATCTAGGTGTAGGGTATTTTTTTGGTGACAGAGAATCATCTCAATTATGTCATTTGAACTTATAATTGTTATGCAAACTTTGGATGTATGCAATTTCTCGCTAATCATGCGAATGATTAAAATTAGAGGTGGTAATTTTAACTTATTATCTATTAATTTGTCTAATTCGTCAATAAATTAATGGGTTGAATATCTATATTAATTAATATGGGTTCTAAATGGGTTGGGTAATATGATTTATTTTAATTAAGCGGGTTAATATGGATTATAAATTGGTACTCATTGGGTTGAGTATTTATTTTTTTATTAAATAATGTAAATAATAAAATTAAATAAATATAATAATATACCAAAAAATATACATACACTATTATACTAAAAAATACACTAATACACTAAAATGTAAACACACTAGTACACCAAAAACACACACACACACTAATACACCACTCATGAGCCCCAGTTGACCCATGACCCACGGCCCACGATTCGGCCCGTGACCCACAAACCATAGACCAACACATAGTCTATAATCGATCCCGATCCATTATGTGTGTATTTTTTTTTTATTAAATGTGTTTTCGTTTTTTTGTTAGTATAGATGTGTGTATTTTTAGTATATTAGTGTATTAGTTTGTGTGTGTGTTTGGTGTATTAGTGTGTGTATGTTTGTATTTTGGTGTACTACTAATGTGTCTATTAATAATTTTAATTATTTTATGGATTAATCGGTTTAACTCAACCTGTTATAAACTCAATCCATTATAATCCGTTTACTAAGTGAGTGAAAAATATATTTGATTTATTTTAGCTCAATCCAATTTAACCCAACCCATAACCTATCCAATCCACTCATTTATCACCTCTAATTAAAACCTATGTGTTTATGCTGTTAGTGTGACTCGAATCGAATGGAATGGCCTGAACTTATCTTCATTTACTTGAAGACAAGAATTATGGCATGTAACTCTTTTTTTTTTTTTTTTTTAAATGTTTTTTTGAGAAGGGGCAGGGAAAGGGGAAAGAGGGGAAGAGGAGGGACGGAGATTTGAATCTTTAATCTCAAGACGACGAAGTCTTTATAAGATAAAGAGTACCATTAAACTAAAAATTCATCGATATAACATATAACTCTTTAGGATAGTTCAATAATTAAGTTTGACATTTTGTAGTCTAGTGGTCTCAAGTTTGCTTATCCTTTCTTACACCTGTTAATAAAATGACATGTTACTAAAACTCAAGAAGGAGTAGTCCGTGGCGCATAGCTGAAAATTTTACATAATTGTAATATGAATTGTAGAGTCGATGATAAATGGATATTTGCCCCTCTATGTTTTAGCTGGATCCTATTTTCACCCCGCAAACTTGCTGCCAAAACGGACCGTCGACGCAAAGAATTGAACAAAGACCAGTATACCCCTGGGAAGGAATAATATTCCAAATGAGGACAATTAGGGTTTTGGCAGCCAACTATAAATATAACCTCTCGCCACTGTCGCCAGACCTCTGCTTAGCAACTAGGGTTTTCCATCGATCTTCGGCGACCGTAGCTTCTCGTTCCCCCTCTGAGAGAGAGAGAGAGAGAGAGAGAGAAGACAGCAAAAGGATGGGGCACTCGAACGTGTGGAACTCGCATCCGAAGAGTTACGGTCCAGGCTCTCGCACTTGGTAATTATATCAAAACCTTTGATCTCTGATTTTACTTGTGTTTGGGTACTGAGAAAATTTAAAGCGAAAATTTTAGGGCTCTATTCATTGGTTTTGTTTGTCATCCCTGTGAAGTATGCCGATGGATTGAATTGCTGGGTTCTGAATTTGATAGTTGAAGTTGTATATCTTGATCTATGTGATTGTAATTTGGTGTATATAGTTTCTTAGGTATGCCCTTAGTCCAGATGCATCTGGATCTGGTTGGGCTCATATATGTATTACTGTGTTGGGATCTAATTTCTCTTGAGAACCTCTGAACTGCTCCTCCTCCCCCTTTGTAAAACCAGAAAAATTATGCCTCTTTTTTTTTTGGGGGGGAGATATAACCGAGGAAAACTAAGTGAAAAGAAGTTTAGAATCTACTGGAAAAACATAACCTAATAATTTCTTAGATGTTAAACATATGGAATTTTGTGTTTGGATGTTTTATTTTTCTTTTCTACCATCTCTCGGGAGATAAATGCATGCGGGGGATTGATTTTAGTAGAAATAGAGTTGGAGTTGTTGAGAGATTGTGGATTTGTTGGGGAAAGCCTGATTTCTTTCAGATGATAGCATGGATGCGCCTATGAGAAATATTTTAGTATACACATGTCTCTCAAAATGGTTTTGTTTTCATGTTAATGCAGTTTTTTTTATTTGGGTGAGATCTCAACCACGGAATTAAGGGACATTCTTTTGTATTTTCTAAAATTACACTGCTATGTCATGCCAATTTTTTTCGTGTAATGGAGGTGCAGTGATCAAGTGCACAATGTCCTGTGCTTGAGTTCATCCACTTGTTAAAGTACGTCCATTGGTGCAATGTGTGTTATTTACCTAAGTAGAAAAAATGATATTTGCTATTAACTTGTGAATAGGTGGTAAATAAAAGTATACCTGCTTTCGTTCTCTCATACATCATATCATACCTGTCAAATAATCCCTACCCCTAAATTCTCTTTCTTAGCTTTCCTCTTGGAAGGAAATTATTCCAAAATGTGATTTTTGTTTGGTAATATTTTCAACCATCAACTGGACGAGAACAATGGTGATGAAGGTGGTGTTGGTTGTTGCGGGTATGCCTTGTGAACTGGCGGTGGGTGGTTAATTTGGGAGAGGGGCAGCGTATTGGTGGTGGTAAGGTGAGTGCAATGAAGTTGGCGGTGGTATGCTTGCAGCACGTTTTTTGTTGTGGTGTTGGTGATATGTCAGATAGGGAGTTGTGAGTGTGTGTGTGTGTGAGAGAGGGAGAGAGTGTCTACGTACCATAGTTTTATATCAAATTTTCTGTTTCAAATGGTGTGGCATAATTAAGAATCATAGGATGGTTGGTGGGAGTCCTGAGACCAGCAAATCTAATCCATGTGTATGCGTGTGGAGAAAGACAGGAAGATGTGTTGCTATGTGAGTGTATGCCTGAGAGAGAAAGAAAAAGGAAGAAGAATAGGAAGAAAGGCAATAGGAAAAATATTTAATGATATTAGCATTTTTTTTTGCTCCCATCAGTAATTGGCACTTATGGCATGGATACTATGTCATACAGCTTGAATAACTAGAAGGTTTGTTAGTGTCATTTTAGAAAATGTATGACGTGTGACTGAAATTTACCCCTTTTATTTTAATGCCATTGTTTAGTAACCTATCAAATTGGATTGGCAATTTATGCTTTTCATTGCTTCCTTTCTGAAGCTTTAGTCTAGTGCAATATGTTCTCAACTTCTTTTAATATCTGGCTGTGCAACCTTTTTTTCCTCAAGGAGGCGTCAGTTAAAGTTGTAAGATTTCATGATGCTATTATTGCAAATTCTGACGTCTTACCTGAAGCAGCGCCAGGAATTTTTTTTGGAGAAAACACATTTGCATGTCTTTTTGCAGCAGTGCTCTTCAAGTTTTGGTTTGATGATCGATTATGGCAGCTGTTGATCAAAATATCTGTTTTTTGGCAGTCGTGTTTGCGGGAACCCTCATGGATTGATTCGAAAGTATGGTCTGATGTGCTGCAGGCAATGTTTCCGCAGCAATGCAAAGGAAATTGGATTCATTAAGGTAAAAACATCAGGGTGCTTGACTGTAGTCTTGTATAACTTGCTTCCAGTCCCCTCTTATTATATTAGCAATTGCTTGATAGTTTCATTTTAACTGATCAGTTGTTTTCCAGATTAGTATATTAGATATAGGTATATTGGTCCGTGGTCATGGTGTTTTTGTTTTGTCTGTTTTTTGTCAAATAGTTTTTATTGGTCTCTATTTCTTCTTTGGGAACGGTGTTCATTTCTTCTTATTTCCTGCTTTTGCAGTATCGCTAAAGGATATGTCACCTTCTTCATGAGAGAGAGAGGATTATGCCCAAGTGTAATGCTGGTGGTGGCTCCTTATAATCGTAGTAGCTTTATGGTTTCCTGTTCTCTATTTAACGTAATTGGATACTGTTTGCTTACTCTATTATATCATTGAATGAATTGGATTGTGGACTAGAAATTTTTTGATCACATATTTTTGAAGTCTGTCCTCACCCTTGTTTCTTTGCATGGTATTGTCCGTCATGGTAGAAACACCAATTCCGTGGTCAATTATTGTTGCATATGAAGATGAAGTGGTCTGTTTGACCTGGGTTATGATGAGCATCATACAAAATTACCATATTTTGTTAGGATGGTTGAGTCTGATGAACAGACGTTTTTACTGTCCAAGCTTGCCGTCATCTCAACTAAGATCCAATGACTATACTTATGCTTAGATTGTTGAAAACCTGATTCTGATGAAACATTGCCATAATTATTGTAGAGCCTGGTTTTTCATATACCCATACCGAGGAACTTTCAGCTTGTTGAAAGTTGATAACACACTGAAGCATATGGCAAGAGTTGACACCTGATGAACTTTCAGATTGTTGAAAGTTGATAACAATGAAGCATGGCAGGAATCCAACGAATGCGCTAAATGTGATGTTTGGTTGCAGCATTGAAGTTTCCACTTAAATGTTCCTGTCAGCTCTCTACAAGGACCAAAAGGTAGCCCATGTTGGATGGAATGTCGGATGATTTTTCTTAATACCAAAACTGTTCATCTAGAATAAAGACTTGCTACTTTCTGAAGCAACAAGAAAGATGGGACCAAGACTTAGATCGAGAAATTATGTGGCATATTATGACAAGCTGAGGAATGTGGAACTTCTAATACATTGTGGCTTAGAAGGGGAGAATCTATTTATCGAAAACGAAGGTAAAGATATTTATCATTCACCGTTTGCTTGTCTCAAGTCATTAGAGAGCCCAGCGTAATAGATACCATCAACCAGAACTGTTTCTATCTTTGGGAGGAGAAAAAATATAATGGTGATACCACTCGGTAAGGTAATATGGTATGATCAACTAATAATAT